TTAAAATGGCTTATAAAAGACTGCTAACAAGTATAAAGTAGGTGTGATTGACAATTATTGCTAAAGAAGCTGGATGTTCACTCTTGCATCCAAGCATATTAAGGTGGAAATTTGGTGGAAGGAAAATCTAACATACAAAAAAAAGACTTCAAGCAGCTAGGATTGACTCAGCTTTGGAAGCAAGTCTAGCAAAGTTAGTCCTGAAACCCAAGATGGCGGGGGGGTGGTTTCCAAATGAAAATGTAAATTTATTCAAGTGTGAGACAGCATCAAAGTGTCCTATTATTAAAAGTGAAGTTTCCACCATCAGAGAATCTGTGTTGTTCCGTCACCTGCTGTCAGCACTTCACCAGGAAATGAAAGCTTCCTCTAGACTGCAGGCCACTGATGCAGTCATTTATCCAAAAGGTGACCCTTATTGAGTGCAAATATAAAACAGCAGGCTGTGTTAAAACTTTTTTCATTTATGCAATACTCAAGCTTTCTGGGAGGTCAGCCCCGTTTTAAAAACTAGGGTCCATAATCATCAAAATTCAAAGATATGTTAAGAATCTGTTACTTTTACAAATCAATAGCTCAGCTTCCATTTTATTGCATTTTTAATTTCATTTATAAAAAAAGAAAAACAAGAGTGACAGCTAAATGCCATTTATTTAGTATTTATTTTGTTCTTCAAACAGGAGGCAAACTATTTACAGTTTTCATTTGATCTTTTTTTCTGAAACGGTTTCATTAAATGTACAGTTCGCTGTTTTTTTTCCAACATTCAAAAGACTCGAAACAAAGGGAGCTGAACTGGCTGGGTGACAATTAAAATCCTTTTTAAAAAAATATGCTGCAAAAAAAATAATAACTACAAGATGAATTTAAGAAGTCTGCGACCAGTCATCCTTTTCTTCGCTTTTCTTTTTTTTGGACAAAGGTTCGGCAGTTTATGTAATCATAAAAGCATTGTGCTGCAGAGAATCATCTTAAAATATCCCACAGTAGCTTATAGTACGTTTAGCATAATGTCTTATTTTTGGCATATGGGTCCTTTTTTTTTGTTTTAACATAATCGAGCTGCAATTTATGAGTTCAATCCTAATGGGAGTCTTCTGGAGATTTCCACTGATGGCTACAGGCGACCAATAGTCAACCTGGAGGTCATTAAGCCTTGATTAAAAAAAATTCATTTTTTTTTATAGTAAGCAAGGATACTGAAACAGACTAAAAACGCCAAATGTTTTAAACCTTTTAACCCAACGCTCTAGGCTCTTTACTTACTCTGATCCATCTGACTGGTGATGCATTTAAATTCAGAGCACAGATGGAGAGTTAAAGCTTCACTTTCAAAATCAACCAATGATCAACTGCCAAGCAAAGATGAATCATCCAGCTGGGAATCAGACAATGTTTCTTTGGAGCACCTCTGGTGACCAGATTAGAATTCTTTTTATTAACATAAAAATTAAGAAATTTAATGACCATCTGTCATTATTTCCAACTGTGATGGTGAGGAATCTTTTTTATTATTGTGCATATACACTGGTTATATGGATCGCCACGCAGAGCAGTGGGGGGGTTGGGTTGAAGAGCTGCAACTATGACTTTTGTTAGCTTTACAGCATGTCCAGTCAATGAGGAGGAATGCTTTCTGTGGAAATAAATCCTGCACTTGGTGCCTGATATCTGGAGCTCAACGCTATGCACATTTAATCATTAATTAAATGTAAGCATTTAATAATACCCAGGTTAAAATAGAAAATTCTTATTTTTCTTAGAATACGTACAGTTACGAGAGTACCTCAAACCTGCAAATCAGTAGGTTTTTTGTTTTTTTTTTAAACATACAAGTTTCTTGGAGTGTACGGAGAGTCTTGCATCTAAAATTTAAGGATGACTTATTCACTCAGAGTCTTTAAACACAGTTCTGCAGCAGTGAGATGAGGGACGGTTAATTAAATGCAACCCGGTCAGCTCAGCTCCCCAGAGTACAGACCTTAACTCCTTCAGGAGATTTAAAAAAAAAAAAAAAAGCACTGCCTCCAGAAAAATTCACTCTGCGTTTTCATGAAAACAAAAGAGCAACAAAAATCCAACCACCGGCAAATATCGATTTAAAGAACAAAACACTTGCCGCTCTACTCTGTAGTTAGCTAGTAACTTTTAAAGGTGATTGGATGAACATGTGAGGTCTATAGACAATTCTGTTAGCAAACAGAAGCAAAAAAAAAAAAAAAGGTGTTGAAAACTTTCTGAAACCTGAATTAAGTTAGCAAGGTGGTTTCCAACTAAAGTTTATCATTGAGAACATTTTCAGTTAGTCATTCAAGACTTTACTATACAATTTAAGGCATGTTGAACAAAGAAATAAAGCAAAACCCCACTATGCGAGAAAAAAAAAAGACAAAATGTCACCCAAACCAACTTTAACATTATTTACAAAGCGCATCGTTTAAACTGGTGAGCGCCGATGCGTCCGTCTCTCTGCGAGCTGATATTCATGGATCGCTATGGTGTGTAACGTCTGCTGGAAATGTGCATGTAGTGTATGTTTGCCGCTCCTTTGGACATGAGAATTTTTGCGACGTGTTTGTGTATTTGTCGTGTTTTAGAGTCTTTTCGTTTTGTACAAGTCTATCCAGTTCCACTGCAGCAGCAAATTTAAGACAGCCGCCATCTCTCTGCGTTTCCTCGTCTTGGGACTTCTTAGAAAGGAGGGCTGGTTATACATGTCAAAGTAACCATCTTTCCAGGGCTTCAGGCTGAGGTGGATTATGACCATTGTATGTAGCAACGCAGGCCCCTTTTTTTATTTGGCCTCTTCCTCGCTGGAGGGCGTCTGATCGAACCCCGTGCCAAACGCGATGGTTGATGAACTGTCCGACTGATAATGCCAATGGGCCGCTCGGTCCGGGAACGAGACAAGTGTCTTAGGGGTAAAGTTCAAAAGAGCAGGATTTGGTGAGCCGATTCATGGGTTGGCTGCGGATTAAATCCTCTTCACAGAGGGCAGCAAATAAAGCAAAGCCAATCACCTGTGAAGAGGACAGAGAGAAAGAGAGCGAGACATCAAACATGAGAAAAAATATCAAACTGTTCAGTCAGAAATCAGATTAAGGCTGACTATATACATAGTGGTTACTTTAAAAAAAAAAAAAAAGAAGGGAAAAGTTAAATTATGGTGAACAACTCCAAGCACTCCTTGAAGAAGCCAATTAAACCACAACCCACATTGATTCTCTTAATATAAATCCAGACATCCTCAATATGCCCTTTAATGTCATGTTGTTACTCTGACCATCAGACGTATACCTGGCATTAATGTTGTTTTTACTGACAGGGATATATCGCAAACATTTTTAAGGTAAAATGTTAACCACACATTTCAATTACCCTTCAAAAGAAGACATGAATTTGAATTCATTACAAATTTTCTACTGGACCCATTTTCACCATGTTTCACTGGTTCCACACCCTTATGGAAAAAAAAAAGTTTCAGCGTCACCTTCTTGAACAACCTGGGGAAATTTGGCTAAAAATGAGTAGAGTGCATTGGGTGATGAAACAAAAGCATAGTTAAGTAACTCCAGTAAGATTTATGACAGAAAAGAGCTTAGGAAAAGGGAAAAGAAAATGTAAAGAGACTTGACACATGCATCCGAAAGCAAACTTGAAATTTCAACACTAAGCCAGGTTACATGGGGTCCTGCTCTTTACAGTTTAAGTTACACTGATCTCGGTGTCAGAATTTCAGAGTTAATTTTACTCTAGTTGGAGTCAATATTCGTCATAGAGTAAAATTAGAATTACTGACAATTGTTTACTTAGTTTTAAAACTTGTAAAAAAAAAAAAAAAAGAATCAACAATTAGTGGAGTAAAATTAACTCTGAAATTCTTACACTGACACCATATGTAACCTTGCTCAGTGTTGAAATTGATTCTTGGTGTAGCTTTCCCAAATGCCAGACATCCAAACCAAGAGCGCCTTTGTATAAAGATAATTTCAGAATTAGCCTTTAATCAAAGAAAATTATTTGGTCTTATAAGAGTTTATAAAATAAAAAAAAACTGTTTAAAACTGTTGAGACGAGATATAAAGCAGAATATCATCTGCATAGTAGTGATTGCAGTGTCTTTACAGGTCTACAGAAAGTACAAAACGGCTCTCGAAACATTTATAAAAATAGGTGCACAGGATATACAAAAGAGCAAAAGAAAAAAAACTGTGATGTAATATTGTTTTTTTGAAGGAGAATCCAATATTAAAGTGAATATTCCAACCGTTCATCACTTTTGGAGACTAAATGTTATAGGCAACATCAGGAAATGAGACTACCTAAATCCAAAGATAAACGTCAGAGATAAGGAGAGGGACGACTTACCATGCTGCTCTCCTCCTGCAGGGACTTCACAGCTCTGAAGGTCGTCATCAGTTTGAGAAAACCAAGTGGTAGCATCCTTGGCGACAGCGTCCACCACTTGATGACTCAACCTCTGGATAAGGAACCATGAGTTGGCGCCTCCAAACGACCCAGTCCATGCTTGTTTCCCTTGCATCCCCCCCCCCAATTATTTCAAGGTTAGTGGTGTGTAAAGGGAAACTCACGGTGAGTCCGATTAAAAACTACTGAAAACGATTGGTTTCATCTCCATGAGGAACATTCAGTCCAACGCCTCATGAATTTTCCTTCATCCATTTGAATTTTTTTTTTTCTTTCTACTCCAAAAAGGTAATACAAAAATATGCTTATATACAGGAGGTGAGAGAAGACGGGGGCTTCTCGAGTCTCTCGTTTCAGTTTGGGAATATCTTTTTTTTTCTCTGAGACTTTGAATCAAAGTCGTAGCAATCCTCCTGTTGTAAATTGTGCTCCCGTCCCCAGAATTGTACCTCACAGCTTGAATGAACAAAAGTGCATAGGTGAGTCGGTGAGAGCAGGGTGCGAGTGCGTAGGAGGGTTGACGTGGAGACGAGCGCACAAACCAGGTGTGCTCCTCGTTTTATTTTTTTGGCCTCTCAGTTCCCTCAATGCTCATTCTGCCCTGTACTCCGTTTTCCAGAAAACATAGTCCATCCTCAGGGGTTTTGTTTTTTTTTCTATTAACAAGGCCGACTTTGAGGAGCTCACCCATGCTGTTCTGATTCCTGCCACTCGTCAAGCAAAACAAAAATAAAACCCCAACACCACTCATTGTCCATATGGCAGAAGCGCACTTGCAAACCCCACCCGCCTCATGTGGGAACAAAAACGAAGACAAAAAAAATTTTTTTTTTTTAAACAAAAAAAATATATATATAACTGCACCCACAGTTATCCATGTGGTTTGTAAACAACCAAAGCTCCAGTATGGAATAGAAAAACAACAAAAAAAAGTCCTTTCTTTTTAGTTCTGAGTCACAACGACCAGGATTGTAGAGGCAGTGTGTTCAACTGTATCCATCCAGAGGTTTTAGTTTTCATTTCTTCTTCTCCAACTGTGGAAATGAAAACCTCTCTGAAGCTATTTTTTTTCTGTTTCCATTTTTTGAAATCTTCTGAGGAAAAAATATACATAAAAAAAAAATAAAATAAAAAAAATCAGCACGGGTTTGTAATATTTTTTGGAATACATTCAATGTTTTAAGAAAAAAAAAAATAATACACTTCACATGGCAATGAAACAAAAATCTAACAAATTAGGGAAAAAAAAAAATTAACACACAACACAAATAGCAGCCCCAAGTGCTCATCTTAGTCCAAATACTTTTTAAACTTTGTATATAATGTATATATTCTATATATATTTTCATAAAAAAAAAAAACAAAAAAAAAAAAATACTTTTTAAACTTTGTATATAATGTATATATTCTATATATATTTTCATAAAAAAAAACAAAAACAAAAAAAAAACTCGTCATTATCAAATTGCAACAACGAAGTAACACAATATGCTAACATTTCTCGCACCGTTGGTGCCGTTGCACATTAAAGATGCTGTATTTTTTCTTTTTTTTGTTTTTTTCCAGAGTCAGAAGCTCGACACCTTTCATTCACAAGATCGAGAGCTGACAAAAGGCAACGTGATCACACCCCAGGAAAAAAAAAAACGAACTGGACTAACCTCTCTGATGGATCACCCCACCCCCCCAAAAACAGACAACTAGAAATATTTACCATATAAACTTACAAACTTTACATACAATGTGCTGAGCACCGACACACATCACATCCGCTCTCGAAAAAGAGTTAATGTCTCAATGGCCATGCACCCTATATCAAAGTTCTTAGGCACAAATGTGCATTCATACACATAGAAAAAAAAAAGCACATACAAAATGAGTACCTGTAGTCTTAACTCACTTCTATGAACAGTAAATGAACACATCTTCTGAAAAAACACATGCATACATAGAAAGTCTCACTCACACGCCCACGGGCTAACCGCCCCTCGTGATCTGCGGCATCTGTCGGCTCTTTAAGAGCCGCCGACGGCAGCAAAGCAGAGGGAATTAAACCAGCGGTGAGCTTTTGTGTCATGACAACAAAGCTAACATTTACAAACCGTATGCATCTTTTTTTTTTTAAGATCTAGCTGAAGATGAAGAGCTGGTGAGAGAAAGGATGTTTGTGCAGTTTGCCCTCTCTCTCTGGTTCAGTCACACTCTTGAAGCAAACATGAAATAATCCAACCCCCCCGATCCGTTTGGAAAATAAAGGGGAGCAAACAAACATGAACATGAGGAGAAATTACTGGAAAAAAAAAAAAAATAAGACAAAATGGCCTCTTTATGTTTCATACATCTTGGTAAGCAACAGAAAAAAAAAAAAAATTGTGCAGACTATCACACTCGCTCTCTCACATTCACAAAAATATTCACTTCTATAAACTAACCCCATTTGTTGGATTTTTTTTTTGTTGTTTTTCTCATTTCTTTTTTTAGGCAAGTGCAAATCTTCAAGTTTTTTATACTCCATTTTTTTTTCAATAGCTTTACTTTTTATATAAATGTAAAAAAAATGCTCAACAAGAGAAATATCAACAGTGTTTGTCTTTCGAGAAAGGATTTGCTTTCTGATAAGGTTCGAACAAAAAAAAAAAAAAAGGTCCCCCTGACTTGTATAAACCCAACATCGCCTCGCCGACTCCTTCGCCTCCTTGCCTGCTTTCCAGTTCAGATGCAGGCAGGCGATGCGTACGAACACGCGTCGTCCTGCGCGCATCCATTCCAAACACAAATGTATACACACACACACACACACCGTGAAATAAAACGACTAGTCAAATCCCATCTCAATAAAGTGCATTAGTTCAGAATAAGGTGCTTAAACTTTTGAGTGCCAGAGGATACCCATCCTAACCTCACCCCGGCTCACCCTCCCCTGCTCTAGTGATCAACTGGTGCAGCAGGGAGCCCTTTTTTTAACCAGAGGGAGGCAAAGGGATTAACCCTACACCTTCCCTCATGCTTGCTCCCTTCTATTCCAATCCCCGACCCCATACTCACCCCCCTCCCCACTCCCAGGTTCCCCCAGCAGTGCACATTCGTCATCAGGTTTGTCTGATTAAAAGACAGAAAAGGCCTCAGGTAGCTATTGCTGCTGCGCTGTGTCACATCAGTAATCCTCCACCATCTCCATATCATTCATGCCCAGACAATCGCCTGTGTTGTGGAATGAGTAACCTGCAGGGGGGACAGAGAGAAAGGTAACGTTACCTCATTGGTAAGCATAACGCCTTTCATTTGATTGGACTTTTTCAACGGAAATCTTAATCCCACAGCTTTAGCATTTCATTCAGGCAGGGACTGATTCCCATCATTCGCTGCAATCATTTTCTACTGTCCTCTTCCCACAGCATGATTCCCTGAGGTTATGTTCAGATGCTTTAAATAATGATATAGATTGAAGTCATAATTAAAACTGCAAATAAATGTATTCATGTCAACGCATTAGGTGTCAATATGTAAAATTTATAATTAGAATTTAATCAGTTATTACTATGGGTGCTTGGCTGCCTTCCCTCAAGAAATGATTTTGTCGCTGTTATAAGCAAAACATCTGATTGGTTAAGTCAAATCCACACCAGCCAGATTAGCTTTACCCACTGGTTGTGGTGAAAATAAACTGATGAGAGTGAAAATAGGTCCAACCTTGAAGGCGATTTAGAACACAACCATAAATTAAATACTTCACTCCAGAGGAAAATAACTTTTCAGATTAATTGCTTAGTTTAAACAGATTTGTACATTTTCTATAAACATTAATATTGTTAAGTTGGGTAACAATTGACAAGTTGTTTTAGGTGGATATTAAAAATAAAGTAACTTAAATTGAGATAATGCATCTAAATGAGAATAAAAAAGGAAAAGAAAGCAATAATTATTTTTATTTTTTTCTCCCAAACTCAAAGTCTCATATCCGACATAAAAAAGCTTTCCCAAAGGCCCATTTTTTGTAGATAATCCAGCTCAATAGCTTTTACGTGTCCAACATTGTTCTACAGTAGGCTTGGGCGGCGATGCAGTAAAAAGGGAAATCGAGGTGTCCAAAAAGTAGATTAAGATGGATAGCAAAGAGAGTAGCAAAGTTGGTGTAAGTCGTGCATTAACGGGGGTGTTTTTTTTGTTGTTTTTTTCAATCCTGGTCATAAGGATCCAGCTTGCTGCATCTCTGCTCCAGCACACCTGAATCATGACCTCCAAAGCAGCAATCAAAGGCTTTTTGCTTGGTCATGTGACAGTGATGCAGCTCAGGATTGTGGACAGTTTAAAGAGAAGCTATTATCGATTTAATCCTCCATTTAGCTGTAGCTTAAATCTTTGAATCTCGAAATGAACTGGAAAAAGCCTCAATGTGATTTTAATTCCTTGTGGTAATTTTACAGAATCACCAGCTTCTTAAATTTGTGCAAACATATCAAAATATTGAAGATGTTAATGTCCCACTATGCTGCATGAAGGGGTTAAAGTACACAATTTTGAGAAAGAGTCTGTGAAAATCAAGCTGGGATTTCGTTAACAAACAGCCTGCAGGCCTTGGACTTGATGCTCACAATTCAGTGTTGGACAAGACAAGTTTGTTTGGATGTGTAAAATACAGCATCAAATCAAGCTACTTGTATTCAGCAAATAGAGCAATAATCAATGTAGGGGGAAAAATGTAATAAATATGACTAAATTAAATAAAATTGTGCTTTTATTTCATGTTGAAATAAGACACAAAGTTCAAAATAGGGCAGAGTTTCAAGCTGTCACCAGAAAACAATAAAACTGATGCATTTCAGGTTAGACTGGTGATCTACAGCCTAATTCAGTCTAACTTTTATATAAAGGGTTTATATCGTCTTCATAAAGCATCATAATTCTGATCAAATACATTTTAGCCTTGTCAGCTGTTGTCTTGAATCTTCACTTACCCAAGATGCTGGGATCAGAGTGCAGCATCATGGATGGTTTCTTCTTCATCTTTCCTCCCTGGTTGTCATAGAGACTACCTTTGCCCATGTGGTTGGCCTGAAACATGGACTGCAGAGTGCTTGGATTCATACCTCGCATTGAGTCCTGAGAAACCAAATTACAAAAAAAGAATCATTTCATGACTTCTGCTCAATATGTTTCTAAAGAATATTTTAGTTTAACAGCCTTCACTAATATTTGTTTGACCCAGTTGCTTTTATATCAGACTAAATGGATCATGTTTGGTTGCTCTCCTTTAAGCTTAATGTTCATCAGCATCTTGGAAACTAGGGAGTAGCAAGAGCCCATCAAACCTTCGGGAAGTAGCACCAGCTTGTCATCTATTAATGTAATTATGTAAAATGAAAGGAAATCTGGTGTATTTATATCTAGATTTACCTGCAGAGGGAAGTTCATGTTCAACCCACCCACTTCTTTTGAAAGCTGAAAGAAGACAAAAACACAAGATGTTTTAGAATTCATAAATACAGGATTATACCAGAGCATATAGTACAATAACTTCCTGGAATTGAATTATAATATGTTAAAGTATATAAAGTAGAAGAGCTTCAGAACCTGTGGGGTTGTCTTTCTTTCTTTTTTTTTTAAAGGGAAAAAAGAATACACAATATAAAGAAAGATGGTGGCAATAAATCAAAGCAGAATTTATTGCTGCATATAGGACTGAATGATACCAGGAAAACCTGCCTGAAATATGGGATAAGTAAAAATCATGATGTCATTAACACAATGCATTCTGGGACGCATGTAGGCTATTAGGTTGAGAATAAACCCAATATAATCAAGCAACCCTGGTTGTATTTCTTCTTAAAAAGTCTAAGGGAAGCGGCTATTCCAACGGTTGCAATTTCGAATTCTCTTGAGTGGTGCCCGACTTTACAAGAGTGAAAAAATGAATGTGATTGGTTGTTTATCAAGGGGGCGGGATTGTTGGGGCCAGTGTCTCGGAAGCATCTTGTGAACCAATTAGCAACTTGGTGCTAGTAGTTTCCCAATGGGAAATTACATTGGGGTCAAGTAGCACTAAATTGGTGACTTAGAAATGACACTGTCAAGGAACGCTATGGACATGGAAACATACAAGAGGACGAGAGTTTTGTGTCAGAGGTCGTGGATGAGTCTCCTCTGTCATACATTTTTTATTTAAAGGAGGAAAGCGGGGATGAAGATGTT